AAACCTTAATTCTTTATGATGGCAATAATAACACATGTTTAAAGTTGTTGTAAAAATTAACTGATTCCAACAATGCTTTGAATTTACCTAGAACTTTAAACCATTGATCATAATAACACATTCTTGTCCCCCTTTCCTTTATTCCCCTCTTTTCCATCCTTATCCATCTTACAAACCAACTGGCCAATCATTATAACCACTTCCTTGGATATGCAGGTCCCTGCGCCTCATTTTGTTCTACTGCCTTGGCAGAATCCCATCCTTGGTCCTCCTAACTCTTTGTTCTGCCACTGCACCCATGCAATATGTGGATGGAGAAAACAACCACACTGACTGGTTTCACTTTAAACTTTTATCACAAACCTTGTGTGGACCTGACAAACATATTTTATTTCCCCTGTCCATTTACTGTTCCACTTTTTAGAGAAGTTTGCCATGCCTTCTCCTTGCTCCTCCAGGATTCAGCAACCTCCTTTCTTATTCCCACTCTCACCTGATCCTGCTTCCTACTTAACTAGGAAAATTGAACCAGTTAAAAAAGAACTTTCACAGATGGACATTTGCACATCTCCCTCCCTACAGTATGTGCCATGTAGTCTGCCTTCTTCTAGTTCCTAGAATAGAGCTGTGTTCCTATGAAGACAAAATTCCTCCACTTGTGCCCTAGATCTCTTCTTTCCCTATCCGAGAACATCATTCTAGTAAATTCTCCCCTTTCTCTTATACATTACCAATTCTGCCTCTATTGTCTTTTTCACATTAACACTGGAACATGTGCTTATTCTTCCAATCAATATGTAAGGTCTTCCTGGTCTACTGCCTGCCAGTTACAACTCCATGTCTTTGTTCCCATCTGTAACAAAACATGTCAGAAGAGTTTTCTGTTTCTGCGTTCTCCAATTCCCCTCCTCCTCTTCACCTCTGAATTCTCTCCAGTAAGACTTATGCCACAGCACTCCACCAAAAGTTCACAATGACTTTCACATTGTCAAACCCGCTTGTCTATTCCCAGTTCTCACATCACGTGGGCTGTGAGCGGCATTTGACAATTCATCATTCCCTTCTTGATATACTTTATTCATTTGACTTCCAGAAAGCTGCAGAATTTTGGTTTTCCAGCTGCCCCATCAGCCACACCTGCCCAGTCATGTTTGCTAGTTCTCATCTTTCAACTTCTTAATTTTTGGAACGCCCTCATGGCTTCCCCCTCAACTCCTAATCTTTAGTCATATGTTACCTCCTTAACAAGGTCTGCCCTAAGGACCCTATTTGAAATTTTAAGCCCCTAATCTCAATTTCCCTTATCTTAA